AGTTTGGACAATTGTTGTTTTTTGTATTGTAGGTTATCAATTATGTGTAATTTTCAGATGCCTGATGAAGGTCTAATAAAAGACCGAAACGTTGCTAAAATAATAATGTAATTTGTTATAATAGTCCTATCTTGTCCACATTCCTGAGATACACGAAAAATATTTTATAATAATTATGGACGACAATATTGATAATAATTATTTTCATATCTCGGTTTTTTATACTAAGTCAGTCTTTAATTTAATTCAGATATTACAGCTATACTATAGGATTTTTATGTTATTGTTGTATGATTGCCTATGTGTCGCCAAATGCAGATCATGATTTACGAGCTATCAATTTTATCAGAATCAAATAATTATCACTTTCTAACAAACATAAATTATTTACAAAATCACCTAATAGACGTGGGTCGATATGAGGATACAAACCCGCAAAAATTATCCCCACCCCGGTTGGAAGGGTGGGGCAGTCGTTGTACTATAGAGCCGAGACTTAAAACTCGTGTCTCTTGTTGACGTCCATGGGCTCCGGTGACCTCTTCACCACGCCGCGTGATCGTCCACTCGTCTTGAGCAATTGAAAAAATCAAACACCGCTCGACCGACTGAATTGAAAATTATTTCCAGTTCTCTCACGACTCTTCTAGAAGATATCTTCGGAATATGACCACCAACTAAGGAGGGTAGATGTAAGGAGCGTCATCTTGTATAAGCTACAGAAACAGCGCTAGTGTAGGAAGTGGAAATTATACGAATATAGCAGTTTTAAACAGAGCGAACTGTGTCAGATTGAGAGTTTTCATATTTTTCGCGACTTGTATAGTTAAAATCTCATCTATTCATCTTTATTTGTATTAACTTATGAAGTGTTTCTTTCCTTCTTAATTTACTATCCTATTCTACTAGTTTATGGCGCTGTTTTTTTTTTAAATCTTTCCACTTGCTACTTTGGCGCCATCTGCTTTGGCTCTATTTCAGCGGACACTTTTTAATACACTGAGATGGTGCTCCTAACTTCTTTCTACCCTCCACACAATCAACAAACGACAGTGGCGCGTTAGTCATTTCGAGAAATGACTATATTTCAAACGCAGACGTGAGATCAGTGAGGTGCGATACGTATCAGTTAATAGGTATCAATTAATTTATTGTCGACGTAACTCAATTAATAGCGTGCTGAGATATTACGTAATCGTGGTGTAGGCAATGCTAAGCCTTTGGCTGTCATGTAGGTCACCGGTGCCCTACGCAGCGCACGGAAGTAATGTTACTAAGACGTCGGAATATGTAGTAGACTCTGGGAAAGATGAATTCGAAGATACTGAGAATGAATCTATTTTAAAGAGACCTGAAAGACTTTTTTCCTACCTATGCTGATAGCCTTGAGAGTCTATTTCAGCTTCGCCCTAACGTGTGTAGGTGAGCTCACGGGGTTCAAGCCGGAGTGTTGCTAATACTGACCCTAGCAAGAGCAGTGCTTCGCAGAATCTACCACCGGATCGGAAATGCGACCCACTAAGAAGATCCGGCGAGAAACTGAGTGGGCTAATTGAAAGACTAAAACATAGATTAACGAATAGAAGAAGGTAAAGTTAGGCAATCTTTAGGCGCCTTAGTAACAGTAAATTGACATGATTACTTCAGTGCGCCGCGTAGGACACCGGTGACCTATATGTCAGTCAAAAATGTAAAGAAAATAACAAATTAATTCAGAACAAAATTTAAATAGTAAAATTAAAAATACTTAATCGTTAGTTGCCCTCTCTATGTTTATTCCCGGAAGCGACAACAAGAAAACTTTAAAACTGTAAAAAACGTATTTGAATAGTCGCGAAAAATATACGCAGACATAAAACTAAAAGTACTTTTACGCTTTTATCTCGCAAAATTTACAGTCGTTAAATTAAGGTAAAAGCACTAATGCTAGACACTTTAAGGACAAATCAAACTTCATTCTCAGTTATCAAATGTATTTATCAAAAATTATATTAAATCTTTTTTTTTACTGTTAGAGCAACATTTAGAGATCAATTTTTTCATATAAAATATTTAAATACTGTTGTAGTTTCTACAAAAAATTACAAACTTGTTAGTTTTGCCATACACACTAAAAGATGACAGCATCGAAAATCAAATCCACCAAAAATTGACATCAGTTGGCACTAATAATAGACACGACTTTAACGCTAGTTTTATTATAAACAATTATAATCAATCTTAAGATCATCAACTATTTTCTTAACGCTATCTTGTAAATTATCTTTTCCTATTGGAAACCCTTGTTTGACCATAGCTGTTACCCATGTTACGAGTATTTTTTCTATATCTTCGGTTAAATAACAACTTCTTCCCATTTTACGTATAATAGGTGTCTTTTCCTTGACTTTATTTAATAAAGTTACTCGTGGAACTCCAAATTTCTTTGCCGCAGTGGCTGTCGGAACGCCCCGCCTCATACCCTGGACCAGGAAGGTCAAGTACTTGGGAGTCACCCTGGATGCATCCATAATATTCTGCCCACATATAAAATCAATCCGCGACCGTGCCGCTTTTATTCTCGGCAGACTCTACCCCATGATCTGTAAGCGGAGTAAAATGTCCCTTCGGAACAAGGTGACACTTTACAAAGCTTACATAACGCCGGTCATGACTTACGCGAGTGTGGTGTTTGCTCACGCGGCCCGCACACACATAGACACCCTCCAATCCCTACAATCTCGTTTTTGCAGGTTAGCAGTCGGAGCCCCGTGGTTCGTGAGGAACGTCGACTTACACGACGACTTGGACCTCGAACCGATCAGAAAATACATGAAGTCCGCGTCGGAACGTTACTTCGATAAGGCAATGCGTCATGGTAATCGCCTTATCGTTGCCGCCGCTGACTACTCCCCGAATCCTGACCACGCAGGAGCCAGTCACCGTCGTCGCCCTAGACACCTCCTTACGGATCCATCAGATCCAATAACCCTTGCATTAGACGCCTTCCGCTTTAACACTAGGAGTAGAGATCCCGGTAATCGTACTCGTCGAACTCGGCAAAGAGTTCGACGTGCAACCTAACCTAAGCATCAGCCCGTTGAGTTTCTCGCCGGATCTTCTCAGCGGGTCGCGATCCCGATCCGGTAGTAGATTCATTCGCGAAGCAGCTACTCTTGAGTTGTTAGGTCTCCCTTGGAGGCGCTCGGGTAGCTGTTAGCAAATTCCGCCCCTTCTGTCCTTATGAAACTGGAAAGGCCTCAGGGCCACCAGTAAACCCTCAAACATATACATTCTTTTATGGCTTCTTCAATATTGGCTTCAGAGTATTGAAACATCTGACCCTTTACTGGCGGCATCGTGCTCGAAACTTAAGCTGAAATTAATTGATACTAATAGTTGACATCTAGTATACCCTAATAGTTGACACTGTCTTCGTTTAGTTAGGCTCGTGTAAAATGAACGAAACTCAGATTGAAACTTTTGTTTTACAACATAAAGGCTGAATTTGAAGAAAATTAAGCTAACAAATTCAGTTCGATGTAACCCTAGTAGAAGACACACGTGTCATCTTTTAGGTTTTGATTCATTTTTGGTACTAATAGTAAACACCACTTAAAATTTGTACAAAAACAAACCAAAATAACAAGGAAATGGTCCTAATAAAGCAATAATTTCATACATTTATAATATCGAAACCAACAGTAGCCAATAATTATAAATAGAAGACAAAATCATACCTGTTAAAAGTCAGATGGCTTACGGAAAACGCTAAGAATTACGCACAAAACGTCAACCTACTCACATTGTTTGTTGTCAACTGTTGCCATTTTGAAATTTGCTTCTAACACTGTACGCAAGCTTTTGAGAATGTACCATAGAAGGTACTAGGTGTCTATAACATCAATAGCAATGTTATTTAAGTGTTTAGTTTCCTTATTAGAATTTTTTTTTTTTTAAAGTGTCATCTTTTAGTTCAATGTCCAGCATTAGTGCTTTTACCTTATAAGATAAAAAAGACGATAGTTTTAAGTGACAACGTCTTAAAGAAACTTTAATGAAAAACTACATACTTTTATGAATTGATTTGAATTATTATCACTGAATTCATTCATTATTTTGTACAATACAAAGAAAGACTTAATGGAAAATTACAATTATTTCAATAAATTAACGCTTGGGCCGATTGTGTCTCCATTTCGCTTATTCCGCGCTCTCGCTTGCACGCTCAGGCTTAGGCGGAACGTGACACTTTTTCTCCGTGCAGTCGGTGTTCACCAATTTATAAGACATTATCATGTCAAAAAAAACTGTAATTGGCGCAATATTCAATTGCCATTGTCAAATGGCTCTACAGTTCGTCCGTATAACCATGAAGCCTGTATTCGAAGCTTTGGAAACGACATAATGGCGACAATAAACTAGAAATTAAACCGTAAAAGTAGTTTTAATTTTATCCGCGACTCGCGAAAAACAAAGCAAAAACTTATTAAGTTAAATCTTTTCAGTTAAATTATTTAAAAATAGCTCACTCGTTGTCTAGACATACTAATGCACAAATCAATAACGTACTATGCCAAATTCGTAAAAAAAAAACACATATCGCATTCAAACACTTTTCCGATGACAATCAATTGATTGTATTTAGTCGATTCCGAATAATCGACTAAAACTTCTTTAGTCAATTCAGGGATGGGCATCCCTGTTTCTTAAATGACAGTTCTTGTTTTCTTTTTTTTTTCTTCGTTATTCGGCAGGCGGATGCCAGGTGACAGCGCTCATCTTTCTGTTGATCTCTTGAAGTATTAATCTGCATCTAGCTAATTGGGCGGGCCTTAGATTGGGTGTGGGGTCGCGCGAGTTGTTCACGGACGCCGGCGGGGATCGGCGGGTCCGTCGTAGGGCGCGGCGGCGGCGGGCGCGTGATGCCACTGGCAGCGCTATCGCGGAAGCTTACGTGACAGTAGAAAACAAATAAATGTAGATTATAGAGGAAAAAAATTGACTTTTTGGCGGGAACGCGAGGAGTGAAGTTGGGTGATTTGTTTTATTTTGTCTATTTAGTGTTTCTCCAACTTTAAATGTGTAATAACGGTGGTTTATCAACTGTTTAATATCTGTGAAAGTGCACAAATTTGGGAAAATGAAACCAAGCCGCTGGACGTAACTTCTCGGGATCCTCCAAAAAGTCCACGGAAAAAAATCTCAGTAAATTACCACCATTTTACTGAGATTATATTTCATCCCATATCATATCATCTCATTTTATTTAATTTCATCCCAGTTGATTAATGTCTCAAATTAATCAATTACTTTTCATTTAATTTAATTCCACTCCATATTATCATTTTTCATAAAAATAGGAATATAAATTAAAATAAGACATGGCTTAAAGGTCTTAGTTAACTGGTCATAAAATCCCTTAAAAAAGAAAAAAATATCAAAAAAATAAATTGGCTGTCCGTAAAGTCGTTTTACGGACGATAGTTTTACGTGATAACGTCATTAACAGAACTATTCGAACTGCTAGCTCTGACGTCACGCAAGAAAGAAATAAATGTGTCACAAGTCAACGCTTGGGTCGATCGTGCCTCTCTATCGCTTGTTCCGCGCTCTCGCTTGCACGCTCAGGCTCAAGTGGAACGTGACACTTTTTCGTGCGTGCAGTCGGTGTTCCTCGATTTATAAGACGTTATCACGTCAAACAACGCAATCAAAATTATACTTTTACGATTTAATCTCGCGTCTTTAAGTGTCGTTGTATTGTTTATATTTTATTATCAAAAATCGTATTATTATGAAGCAGAAATTAGGGGGCAAACAAACAGCCAGACATCAAGATACTGTTAGTTCGTTGCGTGTAAAATGAAACTTAAAAATAAGGGGTTTTTTTTTAATTCGACGTTATTCAACACAATAGAACCTCAACCTTCCGCGAAACTGTAAAGTATATGCAACTAATAACTAAATCAATCTTTTAATTTATTTAAGATATCATTAAATCTCTAAATCTGCCTACAGTGAAATTTGTCTGGTTGTAAATATGTTACATGTAAACTAGCAAAGTTTGGGAACTACAAAATGCCTATTTTACTAGACAAATGATTGCATTAATATTCATTCTTACCATTTTCAGTTTTCTCTCTACTGTTTTTAGAGTCTTCATCTATGGATCTCGATAAAGACCTTTTCTTCGGCGACTATAAAAAATTTAAGTAACATCAGATATTTTGATTATGTTCAAGTAATTCAAGTAATTATGTTTAAGCTTAGGAATAGAGGTTTTCACCCGTTTCTATACACACATATTTACATATGTATTTTTTTTCCTACCTAAGCTGTGAGCCTTGAGAGGCTATTTCAGCGTAACCTTAATCTTAGTAGGTGAGTTCACGAGACTCAAACATGACGACGTTGCTAACACGAACTCTAGCAAGAGCTGTGCTTCGCACTCTACCACCGGATCGGAAACGCGACCCACTGAGAAGATCCGGCGAGAAACTCAGTGGGCTCTGTCTGAGGGTTAATTTACTCGTCGAGCCCTTCGTCGTAAGCGACGGGTTCGACGAGAATGATTACCGGCGCTTGAGGTACCTAAAAGCACCATTAGTGGATCGGGAAGAGCCGAAATGATGTCACGTATGTTAATTGTGGGTTAAATGTATGTGTGTATTCTTATAGCTGATTGCAACTAAAACAATTGAATGATTTTAGTGGATATGATGTCAATTTATAACACCTATGGGTGTACAAGCTCTTAGCCCTTTGATATTAAGCGGTGCCGGAGCTTAGACATTGACAATATATCTGCTTCCAACTTGAGCATTCTAAATCTCAGTTCTATAACACAACAGCTGCCCCATCCTTTGAACCAGAATGCATTACTGCTTCTGCTGATTTCTGCCGTGGGGCAGTATGCGTTTCGGTTTGAAGGGTGGGGCAGCCGTTGTAACTATACTGAGACCTTAGAACTCATATCTCAAGGTGGGTGCCTGCATTTACATTGTAGATGTCTATGGGCTCCGGTACCCACTTAACACCAGGTGCACCAGGTAAACAATAAAAACAAAATGTAGTCACTTTGAACTACATTTGTTTATTATGACTATCAAGTATCCTTTTTCAGACAGAAATCCAGCATAAGCTTGATTACTTTCTTTGAGCATGTCTACTTCACTTCCTCAGGACAAAGAATCCACTCTTTAAGGACTGCGTTTTTTTTAAAGTCTCATCTTCACAATACTTTTAGCCTGAAAGCTGATCCGCTACATCTGCTTTCACAATTGACAAGTTAGTCGGGACTGCTCTTATACTTACTCTCCTTTTAATCTGCTTTTGGTAATGCTGGGCATCATAAAACTGAGGCTGCGATCTCCTAACTCGACCGGTTCTTCTTTTGATATTCTCAACGGCCGGCAGAGTGTCAGCACCGCGACGAGCAGAAAAGAAAGTGTGTCCGCACTTACACGATTTTGATGCAACGGCTACCTGAAATTTTATGATTTTCAATTTATTCACATACAGTGCAACCGTAAGACAAATTAGAAAGAGGCTTTGGTAGTTTAACAACAAGAGAATATCTTCCGCTGAGCTGGTGAAATTGCACCATAGAAAAACGGTCTATTCTTTATTGCTGTTGAAAATGGACAATCCTAGGATCCACCTGATGGTAATTAGTAATCATCACACTTACACATCACTAATACACGTGGCACAAAAGGTCTTTAGCCTTATCTGCAAATGGGCATGTAGCAGCCCTGAGGGAACATCATGCCTAAGATTTCATTCCAAATGTTGATATTTTATGGCAAAAAATGGGTTGTGAAAAAAAAATTAGCAATTGCACTAATTATTTGAAGTCTATAGGAACAAAATATATTATGTCTACGCTATATCCTTATCTGTACTTTGTAACTCAATTAATTAATGTGAATTTATTGTTTGAACAAACTACATTTGAATAAAAAACGTATTTGTTTGATTTCACGTAAAAACATATCGAAAAAAAAATTCTAGTATACATTTTTGGTAGATTAATAGCATTTAGGTAATTAATAGGTAAAACCTTCACATTCATTAACTTCAAGAGTGCATTTACAAGTTTCATACCTGCATTTCACATTTCGGGCAACTTTTAGCTATCATTTTGTTTTTCCCCATATTTTTATTACGTAGTCTAACACTAAACGTCTAATTTATGAAGACAAATAATTGAACTAATTAACATTTTTTACTCCAATTATTGTAAATGAAAAACATTCTAAAAATATAAAAAATCTCTACTTTAATTTTTATTTTGACATCTTGACAGTTTATCTTGTGACATAACGGATTGAAAGTCTAATCTTCCCAAAACTTCACTTAATGGAAATTCACGGTTCCAATTTGTAAGACATGACCAGACATGACCTAAAGGTCTATGTTACCAGGTCATAAAATACAAAAAATTCAAAAATTAAATTATAATGGTTTTATTAATATTACTTTCTTTGACCCTTCAGAAACATGTACTTACGAATTTGTAAAAACATTCATATGAGGGAAATCTCATTCAATTAATGGAATTCCAAGATAGATCTAATTTGTATGGACATTAACACAAATTAAAGCAGTGTAGAAAGGTCAAATAATACTTTGTACCATGCTCACATTACTTTAGAGCGATACGTATACTGCGCAACACTATAGAATGTCTGTGGAAAAAAATTACATCAAAAATGTTACTTAGAATCCCGCCCGCCGCCACATAACTTTTTACTAAAAGATCCAACAGCCTATAAACCTATTTATAATTATATAAAAAATACAATTCAAACAATTTAAATGACGAAATTTAGTGAGGTGAAATGTAATGACCCCAAAGTAAAGAACATTTTCCAAATAAGATATGACCTAAAGGTCTATGTTACCGGGTACCAGGTCAAAAAATAAAAACTTAAATGTTACTTTAACACATACATGTATTATTTTACAGATTTTACTTAATTACGTTAAAAGCATGAATGAAAGTGATACATTTAACAATATTAATTCCAAGTACAGATGTTGGACTTGCCTGGGAACCGATGACATGATACAATCAGCTTCAATTGAAGAGACAATTTGGTATCAAAACAACGTCAAGGTATTTACATATTTTTTTTATTATATCTTTATGAATTGTTCAATAATAGATCAGAACAAATAATTTAAACATAAAGATTATTAAGTATTTAACGTTTTTTCTGTATATGTAAATAATGTCGATTTGAATACCCAATGAACAAATAACTTTTTTAATGTAAGAAATTAGAGCAACTGGTTTTCAACTTAAAAAATATCTATACCTAAGGTTTCAAGTAACTAGTTGTACTCTAGGGTCTGAAACAATACGGATCTTGAATGTATCCAAAATGAATTACATAAGAACTTAAAATGACGAATTAAAACTAAAATGAAATAAATTTCCTTAAATGTAATACATATTACCTTTTATTATTATTTCCAGATATTACAAAGTAACGATCAGTTATACCTATGTAAATATTGCAAATGGAAAATAGACAAGTTATTGAGATTCATAAGACAATGTCATTTGGCTTCAGAAATGGTCTGGAGAGATTTGAAAAAGGTACGGTTACATATCGGTATACATATCGGTTGCTCCCTTCAACACGAGCTGTCAAGTTCAGATTGCACTTCGTTATACCTGCCCTGGTGAAACTGGTAATGCCATCAGGTCATTGGTAATCCTTTGGTCCTAAAAAATAAGTTTGTAGTGAAACCTGACATTGTTGTTTCAATTTCGAGTTTAAACTTATAAGTGTTGTCAGTTTTAATAAATGCATGCACAGAGAATTATGTTGAACACTAATATGTATAATAGTTTTAAGAAACAAATACATTACACTTTCACAAATATAAAAGGCTGAGTAAAACGTAAAATAATAATACTACATATATTATTATATTATACATATCTCAAGGTAGGTGGCGGAATTTAAGTTGTAGATGTTTCTGGGCTCCGGTAACCATTTAAAATCAGGTGGGTCCTGAGCTCGTCCACACACACATGCATTATAAAATAAAATAAAAAAGACACATAGAAATAAATACACACAAAAATATAACATTTTATATAAATAGTAACATAGCGAAAATAGCTCCATATGGCATGTTACAATGTATATTGTACTAGATATATATAAGTCAAGGAGAGTTGACAAGAGCCAAGGCAGGTGGCTGTTTGTAAAACTCATGCCACCATATCTCTACAAAGTCTCATAATAGGGCATGCTGCAACAATCCCACATAGTGTAATGCGTAGTGGGATAGTGTGGGTAATGTTACGCCTGTACGAGCAACGTCATCTATCGCCGAATAGGCGAACGAATATCGAAGGATCTAGTAACATCTATAAGGCTCGAGAAGCGCAACGCCATCTATTGTCAGATAACGGAAACACACATCGAAGGTACTCGACTTGTGAGGAATGTTCTCGACGATTCTAGGGATGTCGTATCGACTATAAAAGCGTTGCAGAGATGGCACGGACTTAGTTAATAATCGAAACTACTCGACGCGAAACAGCGAACGGATCACCCGAAGCGAAGCGGAAGAAGCGAATTGAGAATTTTAAAGTATTCGTTGAGTGTTTTAAGTATTCTATGTGTTAATACAGTGGTAATTTATACTTCGGTAGAATTTTATTTATCCTGAACCCCAGAGTGTATGGTAATATACTCAAATCGAACTTTCGCACCTGACTGTGTCATAGACAATAATAACACTACAAACCTTTTCAGTAGGGCCTTTTAAAGGCAATGAGAAACTATTTGTACCTGTGTGCTTAGTGCGAGTTTCTTAACGTTTTCGATAGCGTAATATTTTTTTTCCTACCTAATCTGATAGTCTAGCTAGAGAGACCATGTCAGCGTAACCTGAACTAGTGGGTGAGCTCACGGGGCTCAAACCTGACGACGTTGCTAACACGAACCCCAGCAAGAGCCGTGCTTCACAGAATCTACCACCGGATCGGAAACGCAACCCACTGAGAAGATCCGGCGAGATGGGCTGTGTCTGTGGGTTAATTTACTCGCCGAGCCCTTCGTCGCAAGCGACGGGTTTGTCGAGAACAATGATCGGTGCTTGAGGTACCTAAAAGCACCGTTAGTGGATCTGGAGGATCCGAAATGACGTTTTTGGGCGACATCGAGTGTTTACCATTTGGTCCGCAGGATCGACTATATAGTTTCCGGCGGCGACGATGAGAGGCTTCTCATGTCGTGTCGTTTTATCGAAGTGGTAGCGTAAAAGTTAAGCCAATTGTGTATGCAGTTGGAACAGCGCCCCTAGCGGCAAACGTACGCAAACGATCCCATTCCATACAAATATAAGTTAACTTTTACGCTATCGAGAACGTTAAAAAACTCGCACTAAGCACGCTGCACATAATCGAATTTCACTTTCATTAGTTATAAAAAATAAAATTAAATAAGTATCTATTTCAGGAACGAATAAATTTTCCTTATTTAGCCACCAAACCGATAGAGCACCATGATCTAGGTTCAGATGACATAGAAGATGATAATTATGATATATTCCGTGATGAAGACGACTTGCCATTGTTGATGATGAAGAGTGATGAACCAGAGATTGAGTTAGTAAGTGCCATTACGCATTTTATTAACAAGGAGCTTAGGACTATCGATACCAGTAATAATTCATAAATGTTACTAGATTTTAAATCGTCGTGACCTAAAGGATAAGACGTCCGGTGCATTCGTATGTAGCGATGCAACGATGTTCGAATCCCGCAGGAATTTTTCTAATGAAATACTTACTTAACAATTGTTCACGATTGACTTCCACGGTGAAGGAATAACATCGTGTAATAAAAATCAAACTCGCATAATTATAATTTGCGTAATTACTGGTGGTAGGACGTCTTGTGAATCCGCACGGGTAGGTACCACGGGTAGGGTTTTTTTATTGCTTAGATGGGTGGACGAGCTCACAGCCCACCTGGTGTTTAATGGTTACCGAACCCATAGACATCTACAACGTAAATGCCGCCACTCACTTTGAGATATGAGTTCTAAGATCTCAGTATAGTTACAACGGCTGCCCCACCCTTCAAACCGAAACGCATCGCTGCTTCACGGCAGAAATAGGCAGGGTGGTGGCACCTACCCGCGCGGACTCACAAGACGTCCTACCACCAGTAAAATCCCTTTTAATTTCCTTCATTATTATCTAACAAATTTATGGTTGTTACATAACTAATATGTATATGTATATATATATATACTAATAGTCAAGGGCGGATCCAGCTTTGGCGCCAGGAGGGGGTCACATGGTCAAATTTCGATTCGTTCGTTCCCAAGCGTTTGCCGTTATACAAAGTTATTATATTATTATATTAAATTAATTAAATATTGAAGGTATGTAGTTACATAAAATCTGTATGGTGACAAAATTTATAAATAAAATCATTATATTCAATTAGTGGTCCACCTAAGTCCTGGAACCAGCTCAGGGGGTGGTCATGACCCCCATGACCCGCCCCTGGTTCCGCAATTGCTAATAATATGTATATACATATACTAATAATATTTATATGGGTCATGTACCATCGGTCCAGCAGCTGATTTGTCCCTTTGACCATGTCACCAGGAACCGCATGGTATTAAGGTGGAAATAAAAAACGAAATCGAAGTGAACAGTGACAAAGTTAGAAAAAACGATAAGGAAAAACGTTTCAGCTCCCGCATGGTCAAGGAAACTTCTGAATACGTTGTGATCAAATTGACCAAGGATGAGGTATGGATTTTGGGTTTTTTTTTCTCACCACATTTAGCACAGTTTTTGGGGTCATCTGGGGTTCTCGCACGGGTAGGTACCACCAGCCTAACTGTTACTGCTGTGTAGCAGTAATGTGTTCCAGTTTGAAGGGTGGGGCAGCCGTTGTATTGTAGAAATTGAGACTTGGGACTCGTGTCTCGAATGTCTATGGGCTTCAGTAACCATTTATTACCAGGTTGGCCGTGAGCTCGTCCATCCATCTAATAAATAAAAAACACTGTCCTTTAGTCATTAAAACTGAAAGTGTAGTAGGAACGCTGATTTGGTGTTAAGTGTCTACCAGAAGCCAACATAACTTGGACCATGAGCTTAAGGGGTGGCTTGTAATTGTCTCTTGTACTTTTGGGATGATGCACAATGTGTGTTGACTGGGAAGTGTTCAAAATGGTAATTTTATCTTCTTTTTACAACCAGAGATCTTTTTTGCCGATCGCCATCCAACTCTCCTCAGCACACAGTTGAGTAGAGTCGTC